AGGATTAACTTTTCTCTAGTTTCAGTAAAGACAAGTCTAGTTTGAATTCTTTTAACAGCTAGGGTTGTATTTTGCATGGGCGGTTCTTTTCAATCCGAAGAAGTTCGATATTAAGTATTTTAAGGGGTTCCTCGATTATTTGATGATTGATTTATGTATCTTCATGATATCCCAAAGGTGTGGTGATACATTGCTGGTTATAATTGGATTGATAAACGATCCGGCTTTAATCGCGTACTTGATGCCGGGCAATTGACGTCTGGATTGTAGAGATGGCTCTTTGGCTTCAGTAGGTAAGCTGCCGATAGGCGTGGCACGGAGGCACCGCACACATATCCGGAGTGCTTGATTGTGTAGTGTGTCAAACTTGCTAAGAACACGTGGGCTAGCTGAGTTGTAAATGGTCGATCCATAGTCGATCTTACTTCTAATAATTGCTTTATAAGAAGCAAGATGTCTATATTCGCCCCCAGCTGTGGTTAAGATATATGAGGATGTTAATCCGTTTTTACAGTTGTCAATCATCATCTGAATATGTTATTTCCAGCTCAATTTGTTATCAAAGTATAAGCCTTGGATTTTAGTTCAGCGGACCACAAGTAGGACATGAGAAACCAGTGAGAGATGCGGTGATGTATGGAGCTATTCCTCGAAAAAAGCATACATTCTCATTTTTTGGCGGTGAATTTAAATCCTCACTTCAGGGAAAATTCAGAAAGTTTGTCACGAGATCACAAAAGTTCGCAAAATCTATTGTGTGTTGAAAGCGACGCCAAGAGACACGACGCCGTTAGCCCGGACTGAAGGGCACATTAGCGTTAGGGGCGAAGGAAGAAAGAAGAGACGTTCGAAGAAGGAAGAAAGAAGAACGAAGCAGCAAGAAATTTTGAAGTAATTCTGGTACTGGCGAGGGCAGCAGCAACGTCCAACGAGTTCTGCGAAGGCGTCGTAGCGGAGTCGGCAGCGAGATCTCTTGTAGAAACTGTGGGAATACTTAGATGAAAGATTCAGGAAGAAAATTACTGTTCTTTTATAGTTAAATTCGACTGAGAGCGTATTGCATTCTCACGGCGTTTGTATAACTCCTTGTAGAATTTTGGGACACACTTCAGCGTTAATTAGAGTAGAAATACTCAAAGTTTGTAAGTAAAATATGTAAATAAGAACATAGTATGCAATCATTGCGTTGATGAAAACCCCACATACGTGGAAGGTTAAATGTGCATCGTTAAATAATTGTGAATTAAGATTAAATGTGTAAAGGTATCAGAAGAGGGGTATGTTGCTCAGTATAGTAGGTACCTATTGGTACCAGGTTTTTATTCTGCTGTTCAAGAGAAAATGTTTTGCAAAGTGCCCGTGGCGAGTCAGGTTCGCAGCGAACGTAGCACGTGGCACGTAGAAGAGGTAACAGGATAATTGTTGATTTCGTTGTTGTTATTATTATCTATTATTATTATTAAATTATTTATTATTAATTATTATTTTTCCTCTACATCACACATAAGATCGTTATGAGTGCGCCTGAAAATAAAATCAACTCCTGGGGTACCATGCGACCAGCGTATCCTAAGGGGAGCAGATTCTTAACTGATTGGGCGAGGTGGAACTTTACAATTAGGTCGGGTGACGTAAAATGTGGGCTTTTCCAAATAAGCAATTTTGTCATTGGCACTTACCAAGTCTTGTGCATAACCTGGGAGTTTAGTTAAATGTTCTTACCGACGGCGCACATATTTTTGCGGAACACATGTTCCAGACAGCGTTGCGATGATCTCAACTGTACGACCTGTGTTTTTTACGCCCGCTTCACATTCGGCTCATCTCGATTATAATCCCAAACACTTGCTTTAAAGTCGTTTCTTTGCACTACCTTGTTTTCGACGTTTTCGCAAGGCACAGCAACACCGTAGTACACGATAATTTTTCTTCTCTTCCCAATGATCCCGGTATATATTCAATACCCGCTTCTCGTTCTCGTGCTTGCTATTGTGGCGGCTTCCGTTTGATATTGTTAGCTTTACAATTTACTTGGTTGATAGACTCAACAGTATGTTCACCGGTTGTTGGGTGAGTGTTGTTCGGGTGACCACTTGGGGGGCATGTGTTTGGAACTTCGAGGGCGGTACAGATCTGTTAGTGTAGGTGACTACACATCGTGTCGTGTCTTTTAAAGCATTTGCTAGAATCGGATAAGCTGAGACGATATGATCAATGGTTTCTTTTTGTTCATTGCAGATGCTGCATTTATCAATTTGGGAAATTTTGAGAACCGTTTTATCATGTGTTCTCAACGCTTGACCATCAGCAGCTATTATAACTGCTTCCGATACTGTCTTTATTCTTCCCCTTTTAAGGCACATAAATGATTATCTTTAATTATATATATGATAGATTAATGATCTGCATCTTGTCCATTCTTTTTAGATATTGTCCATGGAGTGGTTTTTCTCCCCACGGTTTGTATAAATTTTTTGTGTCTCACATTTCATGTTCAGTAGCATCAGACGTTCAGTCTCTGTGTTATTCTGCTTGACTGGCGTAGTTTTCTTTGCAATGCTTCTTGCTACATTTTCAATGCCTATGTTTCGCATTCTTCGATCAGATTTCATGACCTGTCTCATTAGAAGGTGATCTTGATAACTGACTACATACTTTCTCACCCCGACTATTGCATTGTGCCTGGAGGCTTCAATTTGTTTGATGCCTCTTCCTCCTTCCTTACGTGGCACATAAAGTCTACATCAGCTCGAAGGTGGGCGACATGACGCATTGTTAGCAGTTTCCTGGTTTTTCGATCCATGATTCGAATTTCTTGCTCAGTCCAGTCCACGAGTCCGAAACTACTCGACTACCGCCAACGTCAAACTACCAAATGCAGATACGTTATTCCTGGAGTTCAGGGCGGACTGCAGGACGAGTTCGAGATTGTCTCACATTCTTCAATGCCCAGATATATGCAAGTTTTACCTGGTTCAAGATCTTGAATCACAGAGTGCATATCAACTTCAATGCTCTCTGACGTCACTTTGCCTCTCTTTATTTTTCACACTTGTCAAGACCAAACTTCATGCAAATGTCATTGCTAAAGTCACGACAGACAGCATTTGAAAGAGAATCATTTCATTCTTAGCAAACACTTTAAGGTCATCCATGAAAAACAAATGTGATAATGGTCTTTCATCTCCATGGAACTTGTAGCCAAAGTCAGCTTGCTACAAATGTCTAGATGGTGGGATCAAACTAATGCAAAACAGCAGAGAGGATATCGAATCTTCTTGAAAAATATACCTAGTGATCTGAATACTTCTTGTTTCTGCTTCTTCATTTCCGCTGTATGTTAGTAACCTGGTACTCCACGACTTCATACTAGCCTTGCAAAACGCAATAAGTCTAAAATGAAATCGATAGATTTCCAAGGTCTACAAAATCCAATCGTGTGACACATGTCAAAGACCTTCTGTTAGTCAATCTAAGCCATGTTTAAATTATACTTTCGTTTCTTTATATCAGTCAAGATGACTATTAAGTAACAAGATTTTCTTGCAGCCTTTACGACATCCTTTTTGTTCAACTGGCAACAGATGGTTCCTCTCTAGGCGTCTGAACATTTTGTCAGCTATGGCTGCAGTTATAACTATGTACAGTACTGGCAGATGAGTAATTGGCCTGTAGTTCTTCGCTAGAGCGCTGTCTCCCTCCGCTTTGTGTAGCAAATACGTGATGCCTCATGTGAGCCATTTCGGGAATTCCTTTCGGTTTTCTAAAATTTTATTAACATTTCCTAGATGACAATGTATTGCTGTTAAATTCTTAATCCAATAATTCTAGATCTTATCAATCCTGGGTGATTTTCATTTTCCCATGTTCTTAATTGCTTGGAAGAGGTAATCTTCGGAGAATTTGTGAACATGTTCCACTGTTTCTACCAGTTCATCGGCTGCAACAACTTTGTTTAATAAGATGTGGGAATGACGAGTAATGATGTAAAAACGAGTGTTTCGATGCGCCATATTTGGCAATATTATTGCTCGCATGACGAATAATATTAATATATTTTATTTAATTATTATATTTTTCTATCCATTTTCATTATCTTTCTAGCGGTATCAAAAATACCAGTTGGCAAAATGAGTATCCCATACGAATTAGCATTCATTATTGCTTGTTGAAACCAATTGTTGTAAAGACGCACTGATAACAGAAGGCGAAAAAGGCGGCTGCCTTTCGTTCGCATTAATATACACCAATACTTTTATATATTTGGGAAATATTACAATATTATAGTGTTTAACAATTACTATTATATATTTTTTAATCTATTTGTATTTGTTTGCCAACACTATCAGTATCGTATTATTTATTAACTTTCAATTATTTTACTTTTGCGCATACTTCTTACGCAGAAAATGGTAAGGCTTAAAACGCATCGGTTACGTTCGTGAATACACTGCATACATTATACAATGAATGCCAAAAATATATTTTCATATAGTGTTTTGAATTAAAAAATCTATTGCTTGAAATTATTTAATTTTCGTACCAAATGTTCTAACTTTTCAATTGAATTTTACAAAAAATGACTGGGATGTGTAAATTCGGAGAGTAATTGTAATATAAATTGTATTACATAACCATTACTAAAGGCGTGAGAGTACACACTGTTGTAGCACCACTAGTTTCAATTTTTCTATTGATGTGAAATATTTGAAATAAGCAGACAGTCATAAATAAGCCGAGGTGACCCATTGTCTGAGCTTTGACTAAAATGGAGGTCAGAGCTCCCGGTCATCTATGACCTGTCTGGCACTAGGGTCTAAGATACAATGATGAGGTTGGGGTCAGTATGAGGAACTTTCAGTTGAAGAAGAAGACGAGATAACCGCGAGGAGCTTTTAACGTGAAAAGAGTTTAGACTACCCATCCATCTGCAGTATAACGAGTGCAATGTTCTCATTAATCAACATGTAAATGGAACAGGCTGAGCCATCTTCCTTGGGATGGCAGGCACTCCGGAATCTTACGAAAACTGGCAGGAGTGGGGTACGTTCCCTGCCGGTGAGAACATTCTCAGCGAACCCTATGCAATGCGGCCTAGAACGGGCCGGTTTGGAGCAGCGCGACAACCCCACCCGAAGCGAAGCGGGCCCGTCACCTGCGTCAGGCGCGGAGGCCACGGGAAGCACTGAAAGACACGCACCGCCCTTTCAGAGGGTGATACCGAGTGCAAAGCAAGTGCGAAGCCACCCAGTATTTTCCGACACACGGCAAAATGTCTCCAGCAACCTTTAAGTATTAGTGAGTTAAAGGAGCTTGTTTTAGACATAATTATTCAATGTTTCCAAAGCGACATGAGTTTCACGTGAATTCAAACCTGCCAAGGAGCTCCGCGTTATCTTAATCGGATAACTTGAATTATTGCGAATGAAACGAGCACACGGTGAGTTTTTTTCACTTGATTTCAGTTTTCACTGAAATTAATTGACCGTAGTAAAAGGAAGACTTCCCTTCTTGTTCATTCGTTCGTTCGCTGTGTTACAAATTGCTCAACTCATCCAGTGATCCTTGCCGGGCATTAAAGAATGCATTTGGAATGCATCAGGAAGCGGATATCAATGGAAATTCCTTATGTTCTTCTCCCCCTTTTGATTTAAGCAAACATTGCTTTGCTGTTATTTAATGTTTATGCATTGTTAAAGTGATTCTAATAATATAAGAGCTGATTATCTTTCGCGATATTAGACGACTTTTTATATTGAACAAACAGGGGCGTTCAGAGAAAACGAGTCGCCATCCCCGGGGCGTGTTTTTTAAAAACCCTCCTCCCAGTACATAAACAAAACTCATTCTTCATGCAACAGAAATAATTTATAGCGCTTAATTTTAATGATGTGTAATTACATTTTTTGTTTCGAATGAAAAAAATTCGGGGCCCCATTGAAGTTACGGCTTGAAGCAATTTAACCCTTGGTTTTGGGCCCCTCTGAACAAATTAATTTATTTTGAATGCGCTTTTGCTGTAACCCAAATTGCTGAGTAGATAGCAATTTCGTGTATGGTGTGTTTCTACCGGTTGTGTATTTCAGAAGACGCTAACAAACACAATATTTAGTTCCTCGAAGCATTTACGACCACCGGTATCGAAATTGCTCCTCAAAGTTGACAACCCTTGTAGTGTTGGAGTGGAGCGCCTCGCCGTTGACAAGCCACAACTACCAGCTCGTGGCACTGACATGGACGTCAAATTAGTTGCTTTTTTTTCAGGCCGGCCGAGCTGCCTTTTTATATTTTGAAAATGTTTAGATGTTTATTTTCTGAATATATTAAACTAATAACAATGTAATGAACCACTTTTTCTTTCATTTTTGATCCATTACACGAGTGTTGATCCGTTACACTATAAAGAAAATTGAGCAATTGAGTATTTACATGTATTTACTGTAGGGTGAGTATCGACTGATTATTTTTTTCTCTTTTTTTCCAAGCGTGTCAACTGGTAGGGTCATTAGTCCTGTATGTGAAGAACATGTGTTACATCGTTGCCTGATATCTCCTTTAACGGTGCACCGGCCAAGCCATAGTTAGCTTTAAGCTTCCAACAGATCGTCCGACATGTGTGGCGTGTAGTGTTAGTGTAAGTAAGGGGTGAGGATAGGTTAAGGAAGAGAAAGGAAAGATCCCGTGTGGTCCACGGCCCGTTTGTTGAGTTGTTTGTTACTATTTTAGCATCCGCCAGGTATTGATCGGAGAAACCATGACAAACTATCGATTTGAGCAGCCGGCATCTAGAATTCTCTTCCAAACAGTTGAATTTGTCCTAGCTATGTAAGATAGAAATAAAAATTTACCAAACTCGGGACTCGAATCATAGGACCTCCTGATCAGAGCCACAATCGTTTCTCTGAGAATTCTCAGTCGATGTGGATGGTCGAAATGATATTTTACTGGAGGTTGATGTCATGTCTATAGGAACCACTATTATTACTATGTATACTATACATAGGGGAACACTGAAGGCAGGACAACGAACAGTTTGAAAATCGATAGCGAGGCACGACTATGCTCGACCTCCTGCTATAGCAAAAGCTCAAACTCGTGAAACGTTTGTCCCAGGCATTTTCGACCTCCCACCACAGCGGGAGTAGGGCTCAGGGGGAATGGCTTTTTGGGAGGCACGCGTCCTCATCGGGCAGCGTTTGTGCAGATAAAGCTGGACGCGGCGCGGCGCGGGCCGGGCGAGCAGGGCAGGGCCGCCTTCCTGGACGACAAGGACGCACAGCAGAAGGAGAGTCTCTACAAAGTGAACGGCTTCAACGCGCTGCTCAGCGACCGCATCGCGCTCGACCGCGCGCTGCCCGACATCCGCCACAAGGGGTGAGTCCTCGCGCTGCTTAGCAACGACGGACACATTTGCTTTCTTGTATTGCCGTACTTTTGTTCCTATCGTGGTACCGTTCGTGCTACAAATCGATAATTAGCGAGTATAGTGATGTTAGGTGAAGTGGATTCTTGTAAATAGAAGTTTACGACTGGCACATACGAACTCGAAACTGCACACCTTGTTTCTTACTAGCCGTAGAAACTTATTATTAGCGGCCTCATCCCCGTTTATCACATCAAATGAGCCGTGGTATTCCCTTTTATCCGCTCATAATAACAGCAGTTCCTCGACACTGTAACGTACCTACTTCACCTCGTGTTAGCTAATGTGCACTTTCTCCAGCTGAATTCTGAAGTAGGCTTCGAAATGTTTCTGCTTTGGACTCCACCCATTTTGGGCAATAACACTAACAGGCTAATGCGCGAATTAATCCAATTTGGACACTAGCCGTAACATATCCACAATAATTATCCACATTCGTGCGTCCACATATGGAAGGTAGCAGTGATGGTACTTTATCGATGACTTCAAAGGACTTCAGCCCTATGTATATGTTTAATTTCTGAATTCTCTCTTTATTAGTTCAGGCAGTGGTATATCAATCCGACTGCATTCGCGCAAAACATATTCTAAATAGTTAGGTAATTTGTTAATTCTGCCCGTGCCTAGCGTGCAGTTAAGAGTCGCTCTTGGGTGCGTAGGTGCAAGGCGAAGCGCTACCTTTCCCGGCTGCCCACGGTGAGCGTGGTGGTGCCGTTCCACAACGAGCACTGGACCACGCTGCTGCGCACCGCCATCAGCGTCATCAACCGCTCGCCCGACCACCTGCTCAAGGAGGTCATTCTGGTGGACGACCACAGCACCAAAGGTGAGGTGGGCCCAGCACTCGCGTGCAATCCCTTTTCATTCCATTGTGACGACGGTGGAACAAGCAAACTCGCTTATTATTTTACAATGTTCAGTAACC